GACTGCATTAGCCTGAGGAAGATCGTTGAACGGCTGATTCGGGAGAGAAAGCTGGATCAATATATTGCCAGACCACAGCAGGCACCAGCCCCAAACGCGAATCGGCAGATCAACATGATCAGCACCATCAGCGAAGGCCCCACTCTGGCAGGACCCTCTAACCGATCAATGAAGCAATATGTGTGTGCCGCTCACTACCCTCAGGTCTTCGGAATAGAAGATGATCAGTACCGTAAGGTTCCGAAGGTGGATTGGGAACCCATCACATTTTGCGAAGAAGAGGAAGAAGGGATCATTTACCCCCACGATGACCCGATGATCATTCGGGCCAAGATCGCCGACTACGATGTAGGTCGGGTACTGATCGACACCGGGAGTTCGGTAAATGTGATTTTTGCCGACGCATTCAAAGGTCTGGGAGTTGCCGACAGCATGGTCAATCGGCAGATAACGCCTCTACTCAGTTTTTCTGGGGATCTGGTCCAACCAGTCGGTAGTATCAGTCTACCCATCGCCTTCAGCATTGCCCCCAGAAAAACAATGACCTACGACCAATTCCTCATCGTCAACTGTCCAACGGCACTCACCAGGGTCAAAGCCCACTTATCCCCCCACATGTTGCTGATGAAGTTCCCTACCCGGAACGGTACCAGAGCTATCCGGGGATACCAGCTCAGCTCACGGACGTGCTATGCAACTTCCCTTAAATCGGTAGCTTGCAAACCTCTAATGGAAGTCATGTCTGTGTAGGAACTACCGAACGATAGCGGCCTATAGATGACCCAAGAGAGAAAACGCCAACGCGGGTAGCGCAGCCTGCGGAAGAACTCGAAACGGTAATCTTGGATGGGGAATTTCCCGATCGGTGGGTAAAGATCGGCACCACCCTAGATCCTGACCTACGAGCGTAATTCATTGACTTCTTGCGGCAACAGGCGGAGGTCTTCGCATGGTCTTATGATGACATGTCTGGCATATCACCTGACGTCATCAGCCACAAGTTCAGCATCTCTCCCGCCCATAAATCGGTCAGACAGAAGCTCCATTCGTATGATGCCGAACGGTATGAGGCCATGCGTACCGAGGTGGACAAGCTAAAAGCCATCGGCTTTATCAGGGAAGCTACGTACCCGGTCTGGCTTGCCAACTCTGTCATGGTTTGGAAGGCCAAAGGGGGATGGCGGATGTGTCATGACTATACCGACCTGAACAAGGCCTGTCCAAATGACAGCTTCCCATTGCCAAGGATCGACCAGCTCATTGACGCAACCGCTGGACACGAGCTGCTCAGCTTCATGGACGCCTATTCAGGGTACAACCAGATTTTCATGGACCTTGCCGATAGCGAGCATACGGCATTTATCATCGACCGCGGTTTGTACTGTTACAACGTCATGCCTTTTGGCCTGAAGAATGCGGGGGCAACGTACCAACGGCTTGTCAATCGAATTTTTACTGAACATATCGGCAGCATTATGGAGGTGTATGTCGACGATATGTTGGTGAAAAGCTGAATGGCAGGGGGGCACCTGGAAAACTTGGCACTCATGTTCGGTATACTCAAGCAATACCGAATGAGGTTGAACCCAACAAAGTGCGCCTTCAGTGTATCTTTTAGGAAATTCCTCGGATTCATGATTAGCCAAAGAGGAATCGAGGCCAATCCCAAGAAAATCAAAGCCATAATCGACATGGAGACGCCGAAGACACAGAAGGACATCCAAAGCCTTACCGGACGCGTCGCTGCCTTGAAGCGCTTCATCTCCAAGGCTACCGATAAATGTGTACCGTTCTTCAAAACCTTGAAAGGGGGCAAACACCATGAGCAAGGCACTACTGTTGGACTCCCGAATGCGACCAAGCATTTCAAGACTTGAAGAACTACATGAGCAAGGCACTACTGTTGTCAAAATCGCTTCCCGGGGAAATTCTCCTCTTCTACCTTTCGGTATCAAGCACTGCCGTCAGCTCGGTATTGATACGGAAGCCAAAGAAGGCAGAGCTACCAATATTTTATGTCAGCAAGGCCCTTCAAAGCGCGAAACTTCGGTACCCACACTTGGAATAGCTAGCACTAGCCCTTGTTGTGTCGGCACGAAGGCTCCGCCCATACTTCCAAGCACACGAAATCACGGTACTGACCAATCAGCCCCTTCGGCAGGTACTTCAAAAGCCAGAAACATTCGACAGATTGGTCAAATGGGCGATCAAGCTGGGAGAATTTGACATACAGTTCAAGCCAAGGCCCGCAGAGAATGGTTAGGTCGTCGCCGACTTCATCTCCGAGCTCACACCTGCCCCATCGGAAGCATGTTCTCCGAACGTTGTTATTATAGAACTGGGAAAAACGGATGCCGAGCGCTTTGATCCCTCTGTCCCTCTATGGATCCTGCATGTTGACGGCTCGGCAAATCAGCAAGGCTGCGGAGCCGGCTTGGTGTTAACTGCTCCAGATGGACGCAAAGTCGAATATGTCATCCGATTCAACTTCAAAACCTCTAACAACGAGGCGGAATATGAGGCTCTCTTGGCCGGCCTTCGGCTAGCCAAGAGCATGAGCGCAAAGCAAATCAGCATTCACAGTGACTCCCAGCTCATTGTAAATCAAATAACCGCAGACTTCGCAGCGAAGGATGCCTCCATGTCCGCCTACTTATCGGCAGCCCACCAACTCCTACAAAAGTTCAAGGCCTACGAGATTCGGCAGATCCCCAGGTCAGAGAATAGTCACGCCGATGCACTCTCGCGGTTGGCTTCGGTAATAAACGACAAGATCGGAAGGAATGTGACGGTGGAGATACTATCCCAGCCAAGCACAGCAACGACAGAGGTGTGTACCGTATGGTACGAGGACACGTGGATGTCTCCAATTTATGCCTTCCTAATAAGCGGAACGCTGCCCACCGATAAGTCCCAAGCTCGGAAGCTACGGTACCGATCGGCAAGATATACAGTCATCGACAATGTCCTGTACAAGTGAGGCTACAGCACGCCGTATATAAAATGGCTCACCAAGGAGCAGGGGGACTACGTCCTCCGGGAAGTTCACAGTAGGGTCTGCGGTAACCATTCAAGGTCCCGATCGCTGGCACACAAAGTCTTCCGGTAGGGGTATTTCTGGCCGACCTTGCACCAAGAAGCAAGCGTACTAGTCAAGAAGTGCGACAAATGCCAGCAGTTCGGAAATGTCCCTCACATCCCTGCCGAGCCACTCTCACTGATCGTAAGAACATGGCCTTTCGCTCAGTGGGAACTGGACTTGATCGTCCCTATGCCGCAAGGCAAAGGCCAGGTCAAATATGTTGTTGTTGTCGTAGGCTACTTCACCAAGTGTGTAGAGGCCTAACTCTTGGCAACGATAACGGCAGCCAAAATGGAAGATTTCATCTGGACGAACATTTGCTGCCAATTCGGAATCCCCTACGCCATCATCACTGATAACGGCAGGCAATTCGATTCGGAAGCCTTTAGGCAGTTCTACACTCGCCTCAAGATCAATCTGTTTTTCGCTTCGCCAGCTCTCCCCCAATCGAACGATCAGGTCGAAGTGATGAACAAAATAGTCAAGAAGCTATTAAAACGGCAGCTTGACAAAGCCAAAGGAGCCTGGCCGGAGAAGCTTCCAGAGGCATTATTTTCCAACTCGGAGATTGGGGCATGCGAAAAGTCTCTCTGGCAACTAAGGACCCCAGGGAAGGAACCCTCGAACCTTCCTGGGAAGGACCTTACGAGATCATCGGCATCCAGCGATCGGAAACATATCGACTCTGGGACTCCAACGGAATGACCCTCGGTCATCCTTGGAACGTAGAGCATTTGAAATATTATTTTAAATGAAGTCACCTAGCCTACTGCAGGATAATAATGTAGATCAGAAAGCCTTCGGCTTATTCTTACTCACTGCCTTCGGCAGTATCGAGTTCCCTAGCCTATGGCAGGTTTTTCAACTGTAAAACGAACTCCAAATGTATCTTTGCCTTCGGCAATCGTTAATGAAAAGGCCTATGGTGCAAATATTCACAACCTTCGGTGTGTTAATTTAAAAGATGCGGTAGAGACCATCGGTCGCAGTATACTACATTTTTAAATCCTTTTATTAGCCTTCGGCGATTAAGGTACCACGGTATTCTTCCCTACCGATTAAAGGTTAACTTGACTTTTACTAAGCATGTTAACGATTAGAAGATCACCTTATTTAGCCCTCGGCACTTCAAAGGTGCACTTTAGAGTTATTCTGTTAACAGCCTTCGGCAGTTAAATCAACTTCCTACCAATTCAGGTTGCGCTTAGAAGTTAGCTTGTTATTGGCCTACGGCTGATTAACTTTTATCTAGCCTTTGGCATTTAAAAAATTCCTAAGACAAGTTAAAACAGAAACATACGGAAAGTGAAACTACTTGGACAATCAAAATAGAAAATTAAAACTTCTGGTATTAAAAGATGCCCTCGGCATCAAGGTGTTCATGAAATAATACATAAAATAAAACTTAAACAAGACTCAAGTGGCAGTCTCCTCCTCGGCATCAGGGGCAACGGTCTTTTCCAGGGCGTCCTCTCCATCGTACTCTTCTATCATCTCTTAGAGCTCAACCAGCTTTAGTTTAAAATGAGAATAAGCTTTTGGAGAAGATTATCATTGCAGAGCATACGAAACTTTCTGTCAGCCAGCGGCCTTCTCGGCCATGGCATCGGCCGCAGCCGTCTCTTGGCCCCTCGTAGTCCTTGATCATCTCTTCAGTTATGCCTTCAGGAAGAGGGGGAGGATCGGCAATAAAGTTGAGGTTGATTTTTTGTCCCGGGTTGTACCGCGTGAAACGGTAGAGCAGATCCGCCATTTCCGAGCCCACCTCCGTGTCCAGCAAGGTAGAGAACTCGAAAGACTGACGGTACCCCCGGATTGCCTCATGGACTGCACCCTCGATCTCCGAAGCCTTGGCCCGCTCCGACTCCTC